CATTACAAATAAATAGTCATCCATATTTTATAATTTATCACAAGATGCGTTAGTTTTATTAAACCCCTTTTACATTATTTGTTTAAAAATTAGGTTTTTCATTTTTAAATCAACGTTTTTTTATACAAAACAAATAAAAAGTATTCATAAGGCAATCAGATATTTGCTATCATAAATAATTATCCTAATCAACATTTTCACTGTTCTTTACTCAATACAGAAATCGCTAATATTAGGTGAATTACAAATTTGCTAGCATTTCTAATAATAGCAAAGATATATCTGTCTCTGGGACTTTTAACATTCACCTTCGCGTACAAGATCATCGCACTGAAGACTGTAAACATTAATAGATACATAAATTTAAAATTAGTGTGCAAATATTAAACTCATGACCAATTGCATATACATACATACATATCTAAAAGCATGTTGGGCTCTTGCCTAAAGACCTTCTGAATAATGCTGTTCAGTGCAACAGTTGTACGAATTTGTCAATGTCAATAATGTAAACATAGGCGAATTGATTCTACTATAAATTGGCTAACACTACTAACGATCGAGTGACGACATTGTCGCAAAAATGCATATGCATAGGCAAAAAAGTGGAATGAAAGCTAAAAGCAAAATGTATAAGCTTTGCTCATATAAGGAATGCAATAAGAATGGCATACGAATAATTATTGCGAAATTGAAGTGGTAGTGGGGGTTGTGGTAGAGGTGTTTGCATCTACTTACATAATAGAATGCTTCAATTTCGACTTCAATTTGATTTTTGTTTTCATTGTAGAAATCGAAACTGTTTCTGCGCTGAGTAGCATCATCATTGCGTTTTGCATTGACGGTATCCTGTTCTTCCTGCTTCTTTTTCTTTAGAAATTCGTCACGATTGAATAGCAACTCAGGCTCGAATGCATACTCGCGAATGTATTCATCATCGCTATCTTGTTCGGTTTTAAACATGTAGCAAACGAAAATGGTAATTCCTTAATATTTATTTTTATATGTCTATAATCTAACAATTACGAGGGATATCAGGATTTTATAAGCACACTTTTCTTTTTTAATAAACGCTCGTAATTATTTACATTTGACACTATTTTTTAATTTAATAATGACAATATTCTCTTACACACTACCGCACTGCTACCGCATACTTCCATTTGAATTGCACATTTTGTATGCTAAGTTGGCAAAATTATTCAATTATTTTCTGCACTTTAACTTTGATTTATTTATTGCATTGCTGTTAGGTTTTGCCTAAAATTATCTATCGAAAGATATTATAGCACTGTCAGCTTATTTCTTGTACTTGAATGAGGCTACAGCTTCTGCCAACGCAGGTGCTCTTATTTTCATAAAATACTTGTGGCATTTTTAAAGCTAATAAATTCGCTTTTAGTTCGATTGGTGACTTAAGGTTCACAAAAGAATTTCACATATGTATTTATTTAATAAAATATTTTTAATAATTTATTTTAGAATAATATAATAATAAATTATTTTAATAATGTATTATAAAAAATAGCATTCGAAGTTCAAATAAATCATGTATATTAATTTTTCTTTCGTGGCCCTGGTTGCAACATAACTGCGTAAACACTTTTAAATTTTCTAATATATAATTAACAACTATATATTTTAATTATTTTTTTTTTTAACAATTTTTAAGCAACACTTTATTGCCCTTTATCACGATTTTTAGTCTAATTATAGTTAAGCAAAATATTTTTTTTAATAATTTTAAATTTTATATTTATATTTAAACATATTAATTTATAATTCTATTTCTTAAGAGCATTTGTGAAAAGATTTTTTGAAATATTTTGCGAGCGGACTAATATTTGCGAAAACTTTTTTTAAACTAAACGGAAAAGCTTTTAAAATTAAAAACAATTATTGAAAATTCTATAAGTTCGTGTGCTGCAAACGAAAAATTGTTAAGGTGACCAAACGATTGCATTTACAGGTTGGTTAAGGGATGATAACCAGCAACAATAATTAAACTTGTCTTTATTCGAATTAACAACTTTTGAAATGTTTCAATGTTGTCCAATAGCTAAGTGCTGAAAAGAAACGTACCCATCGTAATATAAATTTCCAATCTAAACAAGTTAGTTAAGTTAATCAATCTAACCTAAGTTCATTATTATTTTCAGTATTAGAAGGATGATCCCAAAATAATATTACATTCTCTGCGACTTTCCGGCTCTGATATCAGCCAGAAGAAAATTACTAGGCGCGGAGTTTCTCTCAACGCCAGATGTTAGGATATTTTTAGCAGATAACATTTTGGATTTTATTCGACATATGGGATGTGTTCTGACTATGGTGTGTAAAAAATGATTATCGTCCTAGTGTTCCATTTCACTGGAAGCAACAAACCCATATATATTTTCTACTCTATGTACAATATATTAGTTTACTTTCAATGTATCAATAAATATAACATATAAATAACATATAACATCACTAAAATTTTGGGTGATAACTTTTGAATTAAGGTTATATGCAGATTATATGCTTCTTTATGTGTTTTATATAACATAGCTGTGATATATAACTTAAATAAATTCTTTGAACTCTTTATAAATATTATAATTACAAATAATAATTAAAATTCACCGGAACTTTAAAAGCTCTTTTGTACGGTACAAAATTTGCTAATCGAACGATAGACATTTTATAGGTTTTAAAAACCAGTACATTATCTTTTATAAAATATTTCTAAAATATTATTAGTTAAGATAATATAAATTTAATAATTTAATAGTTATCTTAATAGTAAAAGTAAGTATTAGTGATGAAAGTGATAGTGAGGCCGATAGATCGAACGATAGACATTTTATAGGTTTTAAAAACCAGTACATTATCTTTTATAAAATATTTCTAAAATATTATTAGTTAAGATAATATAAATTTAATAATTTAATAGTTATCTTAATAGTAAAAGTAAGTATTAGTGATGAAAGTGATAGTGAGGCTTTGATTTGGGTACCAGTACACTAATACAGAAATTTAATAATACTAATTTATTTATTTATTAAAGATTTCAAGAAAACACCATAATATTTTTTTTTCCTCTATCGCCCTGGAAACATTAACCCATTTCGGACCATCGTATACACGTGTATATACGTGTGGTACACCACACGGCTAGCTTTGAATATTTTTTAATATTCAAAGAATATTTTATCTCTTTGAGGTGAATATAAAGTGAGAGTAATCTTTCAAATAAATATTAAACTCTTATCATTTACTTAAACTTGTTCTATTTTACTATTTACTATGAAAATTTCACTGTAAAATTCCAAGTCGGAAATTTCATTGTACTTAATGGGTTAATGTACCATCCACATAAACTATTAATTAATTCAAAGAGTGTTATTTTTAGTATTACCATTTATATTGAATTTATGGATTATATGAGATCATAATTAACTTTTTGCATATTTGTACTGATTTATAAGTGCTAAAATTCAAATAACTTTCGTTCAATTACATTGCAGTATTATAGTTTTATTTTTAAAAGCGATCACTATCTTTAACTAAGCATTTCCATTTTACACAATTAACTGACAATTCCCCCCAAAGAAATATTCATGTACTTACAATATTATAACTAATTGGTCACCCTAAATTTTGCCGCCCTAAACCTTCCACGGAAATATATTTTCTTTTTAAATAAACAAGCAAGCATTAAAACACTTTTCATTATAATCTGATTATAAATAAAAAACATTAAAAATATATTAAAAAAAAAAATGTGTGCTCTTCTGTTTCAATTACCTTTTGCTTAATGGTGAATATTATTTTAAGCAACACAAATACATATCTAGAAAAAAACAAAGATGCAAAACAAAAAAAGAAAATCAAAACACACAAATAACTAGTAATGATGAAAATGCAATAAAAATTAAAAAATTAAATTTGAAATATTAAATTTTTAGAACGAAACACGAGGCAAATCAAAGAGTCTGTGGGGCGCCAACGTTACCGTCAGCATATTTAGCATATATTTCTTTTCTATTCTGTTGGTAGTCAAAAGAACTAGCAGGGGCACGCATACGAGAACCATTATTTCATAAAAATTGATAATTGATGGATATATTGATGGACTATGAATAAAAAAAAATCGAATTTGAAAGACGAAAAGGTTGATTAATTTGTTTAAAGTAAACTAATTTTAAAAAAGTGCTTGGTTTTCTTTTTTTAAATAATCTTTTCTAAATTATTTTTAAATTAAGAATTGATACGAAACAGCTTTTTTGATCAATTTAGACAGCATAATTTGCGATTTTACTTAAAAATATTATTTTAATATTTAATATTTTATAATTGTTACATTCAGAACACAGAATATATAAATTCGAATTTATTGCTTTTCTAGAAAATTGTGAGACGTTGACTATTTGTTGAAGAAATACCGTTCGAACTAAATAATTATCAACTATAAAAGTAATGAAATCAGAATTAATATGTATGTATATATATATTAGATATCTTAATTACGATATCTCAATTTATACGGATGGATCGAAATTGAACTGCGAGGTAGGAGCAGGAATTTTCACACCATCTGCAGACATAAACAATTCCCTTAGGCCACCTAATAAGGCTACGGTTTTTCAGACTGAAATTATAGCGGCAATAAAAGCCTTTGAATCCTTCAACACAAAATCAAAGATAGT